TTAAGTTTGGGAGCTCATTTAAACTAAAATTGATCAATCATTTATCATTTTAAGCCACTGCCAAATTTCAAGGTTTTTTATAACATTGATCTTGAGATAGAGGTATTTTTGTAAAAACAGTTGACAGAAGTTGACAGTAACTAAAATTCGCCATTTTTTTGCAACTTGGGGAGTGCCAATGTTGCAACAGTCTGCAACTTAACGAGTTAACAGAGTCCTTGTCAACAACTTGGATCAATCTCTGAAAAACGTACTTGATGTCTCAAACATGAAGCTTCTTCCCACAGTGCAAGACCAAAAACATCAATGCTACAATTACGTTGTCCTAGTTACATGAGATTAAAAAACCCTCCGTATAAGAACCTAGATTTTTCCAATTTAGCCTAAACAGCTTCTTATGTAAATGGTGCTTACCTCACTGTTCATGTCACAAACTGTAATTATATTTAGTATATTCAGTATTTTCAGGAGGGCATACAACCATTTGCAAGCAATGAGTTTGTCAACGGAAACATGTTTGTTTTGACACTCAAACGTTTTCTGGGAGGGGCCAAAACAATTAGTTTTGTGGTCAAAACAGTAAGTTTTGCCTTTGTAACTAAAAGTTTGTGGCTTTATTTTGGAGTTTAAAATCAACGAACATGATAGATATCTTGTTATTCGAAAATGGATTTACAATTAAATAACCTAAAATTCGCTATATAAAATATGAAAGTTACGAAAATATCTAAAATCAGTTAGGGACCATTCATTATTTATACCCTGGGGGGGGGGGGAGATTGTTATGTCATATACAAAAATCTCATAGCCCTCCCCCCTCTTGATGAGCTAAATGTTGAAGACCCCCCCTATAAAATGCTAAAACATCTATACACCTCCCCATTTGTATGAATGTTTTAGTACTGTAAACTCGGAACACTGTATAAGTCAAGACCTAGAACTATTGTTTCCCTTGCATACTTTTGCTATAAAAGTGACAAAGTGGCTATTCATACTGGAACAATATGCCGAGTTTGATTTGCTATCGTGCCTGCAGTTGGATGGAGATAAACAGACCACAACCCCTTCGTCCCTTCTTTAACCCTAACCAATAAATGTCTAATAAACTATTTGAGAGTTAAAAAAGTTGGGGGGAAATTTTTTAAAATATTTTAAGAAAAATTTCTAAGTCAAACAGAAAACCGACGGCTAAAACCAAAATCCTCTTCACACACATGCAACGCCTTCGCCAAAAACGCTACCGGCAAGCTCGCTGAAAGCAGTTGCAAAAAAACTATTTTATACTACTAATTTACGAAATGTGAGAATTGGGTGCCATATGCCAGTACAAATAGCCACTTTGTTAAAATTATATCTCTATTACAGCAATAACTTCTTATAATAAGTTTTTGCAATTTCTTATATAAAGTGCTTTAATAATTCCTTTGAGAAGTCGCTGTATTGGACATTGTATTTTACATTCAAATTATTTATCAGGGTGTGTTAAACTGTATATATTTTGATTAGCATCAGGTTACAAAGATTAGCAGGCCGGGTACTGCTAACGTTTTCGACCAGTTACTACTTCAAAACACTTCGTATCGACATAAATTGAATTCAATTTAATATATAAATATCCTATGGTTCTATGGATTTATTTTTACACTGTTAAATTATCGTTTCGCTAATTTATTGTGGTTTGTTTTCTTGGTATAGTCCATGTATATTTACTGACGGCGTGTATTGTGGAATTTTATCTTTTTGTATTCACTGGATCGATCTTTTTGGAATTCTCTCTGTGAAATTGTGTGTTCCTAGTCTTCTGTTAAAATTGTACTTTATTTCATTGAAGACAGCTTGAATTATTGCGTAGTATACCTTATTTTGACCATTGGGATTTTTGAATAATTTGCGGTTTCTCAGTTTCCATGGCAACAACTAACTGTTTGTGTTGAAGTACAATTGTCTAGTACTTGACCTCAATTAACATATACGAAACCTCTCATATCTAGACATTATGCCGAGACATATTGCCTTCTGGCTTTCTTCACTCATACTGGTATTGTTCCTTTTCATTTTCCTCAACTCGTGCAACTCATGGATATCGCTCGTGATATCTATAGGGGCTGATATCGCAAGTTATCCAAACAGGAATTGTGGATGTCCCCGTAAATCAAATCACCCGAATATATCCCCATCATTTAAAGTTAGAGCCGGAATTAAACTTATAAATGCTGGTTTACATGCTTACTCCCTTGTACTCCTAGCTGGAGATGTCAGCCGAAACCCTGGACCTACCAATATCCCTCAAGATTCACAGAATTTTAGTGACATTGGTTTTCCAAGTAACCGTGGACTTAAAATTGCACATCTAAATGTAAGAAGCATAACTAATAAGATAGATTCACTGCGCCTTCGTTTACTTAATAATCCTTTCGATGTCCTGACCATCATAAATATTCAAGGTTATTCTTTTGTCAGAAATTACCGTAAAAGCAAAAAAGGTGGTGGGTGCATGATTTATATTCGTGATGGCTTACCCTATCGAGCACGGCCTGACTTGCAAGATGAGAACACAGAATCTTGTGTCCTTGAACTCAATCGGCCGAAATGTAAAAACATGCTCATCTGGTCAATCTATCGAGCCCCTGATGCACCATTACCCAATTTCATCAATACTTTAAATTCAAAGATCTCCTTACTTCCCCAGGACGTTGAACTAGTTTTACTTGGTGACTTTAATGTTGACGTCCTTGCCAAAAGAAATACTTCTAGTCACAGCTGAAACAAAAAATTAATCTTTTTGCTAGTACAAACAATTTAAATCAACTCATCGACACTCCAACACAGATAAACAAACTCTCATCAGCAGCAATTGATCCCTTGTTTGTTAATAAACATCGCATTGTATCAAGTGGTGTGTTACCGGTACATATTAGCGACCACTCCCTCATTTACTGTGTTGTCAAGGCTTGTGTAACTAAGAGTCCTGGCAGAACAATCGAATATACTTCCTATAAACATTACTCTAAAGAAGCATTTCTGGATGAGCTCAGGAACGTAGACTGGAATATTGTTGATGAAATCCCCGATATTAATACCGCAGTAAATTTTTGGAATAAGCTGTTCTTACATGTTGCAGAACGTCATGCCCCTTCGAAACGAACTAGGATAAAAGATTGTCATGTTCCTTGGATGACATCTGAGTTGAAAACATCTATGCAGGAACACGACCGCTCTTTCCGTAAAGCTACCAAATCTAATTCTCCTTCTGACTGGTCCAAATACAAAAGTTTGAAATCCCACGTAAATAGACAAGTCAAAAAGAGTAAATCGGAATACTACCTTAATCTTATTAAAATCTCTAAAAATAATCCAAACACTCTCTGGAAACACCTCAATGAAATTACTTCACGTAAATCGAGCTCGAACATTTCATGTATTGAAGTCAATGGAAGTCCATCTACCGAACCCAGGCAACTCTCCGAAATTCTCACAGTTTTCGCACAGTTATGTCTACCATCACCGCTGCCGTTTGTAAAGACCATCTTGAATCTGGCGTAATGTTTGCTTTTGATGTAATCGATGAGTGTTTTGTTAAAGCCAAACTAAACAGTCTTAAAACAAACAAAGCGATTGGTTTGGACAACATCAGTGCCAGATTGCTAAAGGACTCTGCTGACATTATCACAACAAGTTTGACTAAACTTTACAACCGCTCATTAGCAACCTCCGTCTTCCCAGCTGTTTGGAAATGTGGAAAAGTAACTGCATTATTCAAATCCAGTGACCGATGCAATGCCAATAATTATAGACCAATAACCATTCTACCAACTGGTAGCAAAATACTTGAAAGAGCTGTTCATAGTCAAGTCTATAGCTATCTACTTCGTGAAAATATCCTGATCCCGAAACAATTTGGATTCCACCCAAAACTCTCCACGGCAATTGCTCTCACCTACTTCACTGACAACATTCTGGATAATTTAGATAAAGGTTCTATCGCCGGTGCAGTTTTCTTAGATCTTTTGAAGGCCTTCGACATGGTTAGTCACGATTGTCTCACACAAACTTGGTACTATTGGTTTTTCAGAGCCAACAATCAACTGGTTCTCTTCTTATCGTTCTCTTCTTAATCGTTTTCAAGTCACTTCTATTGGCCTTGAACAGTCGTCCACTCAACCAGTACATGTCGGAGTACACCAAGGAAGTATACTGGGTCCTTTACTGTTTCTCATTTATGTGAATGAAATTCCCTCCACTGTTAACAGCTGTGACATTTCCCTGTATGCAGATGATACCGTCCTGTTTTGCTCAGCTAAAACCATGATTGAATTGGAACAAAAGCTAAACTCTGACCTGCAGAACTTATCTCGTTGGTTTGATGCTAACCGTTTAACTGTTAATACTTCTAAATGCAAATTTATGGTTTCTGGAAGTAATGCCAAACTTGCCAAACTACAAAATATAAATCTACTTAATAACAGCCCACTAAATCGTGTTGAATCATTTAAGTATCTTGGTATAACCTTAAATCAGACATTATCGTGGTCAGATCATATTGAAGCACTCTTTACCAAAGTTAATCAACGTCTTGGTATCATACGAAGAGTTAAGAGGCAGTCTCTGTAAGAACCTCATGACCTCTTTGGATCAAGAAATAGATTTCTCTCAAACTTTGTACTTGAGATTGCCTTTATAAGGTTTGTTTCAAAATGCATTTTGTTTTCAGTCTAATTGCATTTTGGCAAAGTTCCAGGGGGGTCAAGTTGATGGCTAAAATTATGATTTTTGCTGTTTCTCAATAGTGGATTTTTACTGAATTTTAAAAGCTCTCTACATCAAACAAAAATAATAATAAAACTAAATCCTTCCACACAATAGTAGCCTTATATGTCTTAAGTAAAAAGGTACCTACACATTTTTCAAATATGTTTTCTAAATATAGAAATTACATCATTCATCACAGACTAAAATAGAGATTTCCAAGTTCCTTAAAAATTGTTGAAATAAAAATCCTAAAATTCAAAAGTTAGACTTACCATGAATGTAATATTATTTGTATGGTGAGACTAAAGGTTGGTCTTACATAATGTAAAATAAAATATTGCGGCCTGTAAATTTTGGGGGTACTACAGGCCAACAAATAATCAACATTTTCGACTTTCGGTAGTTTAGATCAAATAAGAACGTTCACCGTTTACTGCAAACTCTGCTTTCAAAGACCGAGATTTTACTTATTATTTTGACCTAAAACAGTGATAACATTTGTTTGACCTTTGCTGTTGTCTAAAGTCTTTTAGGGAAATGCACTGACACAGGCATTTCCGTTAAGTATGGGCCGTATTGTATAAATAATAAAAATTTTCTAGCTGAATATAAACAAAGACAAATTATAAATTTGCAACAGGTAAAGATGTCCGTTAGTCAACAAATTATCGAACATCGATTTACTTTGAAGATTATTTAAAAAGTCAAGAGAAAACCTACCCCAATATAATTTATACAAAGATAATATATGTGTCGATCAACGAATCGATTGTCAGTTGACATATTATTTGGCATTTGTCAGCTGCCATTATTCTTTAGGGTTTTAAATTAATCACTTTCGACATCTTATGATTATTTTAGACACAGTCTCATATGTATAAAATCTTGCTTCTTTTGTCAACAGGCAATGCTAGTCATTCCTCCATTGTTATAACTCAATTTTGTTATTGTTATATTGCGGAAGCCGCTGACCAGCCAAATAATTCGGCTGTCAAAAACACGTGCAACATGTCGCGAATTGTTTGCTTTCGAAACTGCAGGTCAAACTTGGCAAAAGTTTGTCAATGTTTGGTAAAAGTTATGAAATTGTTCCCAATTCTAAAAATTTCTAATATTTGGTTATATTAATTTGTCCAGTTATATTTTAAATTGACATAATATATTTACGACCATTTACCGCCTACTTGCAACCAAATTCCTGTAAATAGAACAAGAGCCCCTGGATGAGCTAAAAGCTCTTGGGCAATTGTTATGTCTTTAATATTAAAATGTGTTTATTTAAAATATTTGTCCGGAAATAATGCTAAGCTTTGCTCCGTCAAGAATGAAACAGACTAAATCTAATTTTTCTAAATACATAAACATTTCTATGTTTGGAAAATATATCAGAAAAATTTATAGATACTTTGTCAGTTAAGGCATATAATTAAAGCTACTATTTTTCGGAAGGATGTAGGTTTATCATGATCTTTGTTTGATGGAGGCAAAATCTTCCAAGGCTACAACGGCTGATCGCATTATTAATCCACCCCCTCCCTCCCCTATTGAGGACATGTGGAATTTCCAATGGCCTCCTGCAAAAGTGAACCAAAAATGAAGGAATTTCCATGGGAGGGTCCAAATTTTAAAGCAAATCTACGGAAATTCCAAAGGGTAGGTAAGAAAAATGAGTAAAACGTATGGAATTTCCATGGGAGGTCAAGAATGGAAAAGAAATTCCAAAGGATAGGATAAAAATCAGCAAGGAGTTTTCCAAGGGATAGCTACTAATCAAAGAATCAGTACGGAATTTCCACTGGCTAGATCAAAAACTGTCAAGGAATTTCCATGGGATGGATTAAAAGTTCATAAAAAATTTGTGGAAAATTCCTTGGGCATGGCTAAAATTCAATAAAAATCTGCGGAAATTCCACAGGGGAGGCTAAAAATTCGCTTAAAATATCTGTAAATTCTAGAGGAGGGGGGGGGCGGACAAAAAATGGATGTCCTCGATAGGGGGGGGGTGCGGATTAATAATGCGACGAGCCAACGTTTGACAGCCGAATTATTTGGCTGGTCAGCAGCTTCCGCCATAACAATAACAAAATGGAGTAAAAACAACAGAGAAATTGACTAGCATAGGCTGCTGATGAAGACTAATCAAGATTTATTTACAAGACTGTGTCTACAATAATCATTAAGATATCGAAAGGGATTAACACTAAAGAATAATGGCAGCTGACGAAAGTCAAATAGTAAGTCTACTGACAATCGGGGTCATTCAATGACAAGGTTGTCGTTCGAGGCATATCTTTGTAGTAGTTAATTTAATATTGGAGTACTTTTCTCTTGACTTTTAAAATATAAAACTAATAAATCTTCAAAGTAAATCGATGTTCGATAATTTGTTGACTAACGAACATCTTTACCTGTTGCAAATTTATAACTTGTTTTGTTTATATTCAGCTAGAAAATTTTTATTATTTATACAATACGGTCCATACATAACGGGAAATGCCTGTGTCAGTGCATTTCCCTAAAAGACTTTAGACAACAGCAAAGGTCAAACGAATGTTACTGGCACTGTTCTAGGTCAAAATAATAAGTAAAATCTCGATCTTTGAAAGCAGAGTTTACAGTAAACGGTGAACATTCTTATTTGATCTAAACTACCGAAAGTCGAAAATGTTGATTATTTGTTGGCCTGTAGTACCCCCAGAATTTACAGGCCGCAATCTTTAATTTTACATTATGTAAGACCAACCTTTAATCTCACCATACAAATAATATTACATTCATGGCAAGTCTAACTTTTGAATTTTAGGGGTTTTATTTCAACAATTTTTAAGGAACTTGGAAATCTTTATTTTAGTCTGTCATGAATGATGTCATTTCTATATATAGAAAACATATTTGAAAAATTTGTAGATTTTTATATTTGTAGATTTTTATAATTTGTAGATTTTATTTGTAGATTTTTACTTAAGACATATAAAACTACTATTGTGGGGAAGGATTTAGTTTTATCATTATTCTTGTTTGATGTAGAGAGCTTTAAAAATCAGTAAAAATCCACTATTGAGAAACAGCAAAAATCATAATTTTAGCCCTCAATTTAACCCCCCTGGAACTTTGCCAAGAACTGGGGGAAGCAGGCATTCAGCTACCATGCTGCCAATGACTGGAATAGTCTGCCTGTGGAACTCCAGAATATACGTCAAATTAAAACTAAACTAAAGAAACATTTAGCTATATAAGCCCCTGAAGAAACATTTAGCTATATTAGCCCCACCGAACCGATAGGATGCGCAAGAACTTTATACAATTTAACCTTTCATATATTCACTTTTGTTAGTTTTATATTTTTATTCTTTTATTATTATTTTTTAAATTTTTTAATTTTTTATCAGGGCTCCACTGAAAATCACTTTCATGAGTGGACCCCCTGACTAAATATTGTAACTATTATTATTATTATTATTATATAAAGTATAACAAACTATTAATGCACATGTTACACAGAACTTAAACTGGCATTTAACACACAGTTTTTTAGTTAATAGTTAGTTCGATTAGCCAGTTTAACCCTTTAAGTGGCAATGCGCCCTACTGTGTTATTTTACTCTGTCTAGCACCAGACTATTTTACTCGTCAGGGGGAGAGTGCTGCCACTCAATGGGCTAAGGATATATATATATATATATATTCGCTAGCTTTAAATTCTAGCGAGATTTAATTTCACGCACCTTGTTGAGACTTATTCACACAGCTTTAAGTTTCCACAAGTAACTTTCCATGTTCTTTGGGTTTTTTAACAGAACTATTAACAATTAATGCATTTAAAGTGAATATTTTTTATCAACAAATACTTCAATATTTGTCAAAACTTGATCAAAAAGTGATTAGGTGGCCTCAAAAAATGGCTTCAAAATTATGTAATGTATAAGCAAAATAAATGATAACAATAAAGCATGAGTTCAAAATACCAAAAAGAACTAAAACATTTATTGTATGGTTCTCATTTGCCTAATATAACAATAACAATAACAATAATCTTTATTAGCATTCCCATATATTATAGGTTCATAAATGGTATTGCCTAACATTATACTTTAGGCCACTACAAGTTAATCTTTAGTTTCTGGTCCGGCCTTACCTTTGCTTACGACGGTTTTTACCATTCAATACTACATTTTGCTAGTTTTTTTTAGTGTAAAATTGAATATTTATCGTTCTATAAGTTAAATCCTTCGCGAAAATTTTCAAGAACTAGAAATTAACTGTAAATAACAAAATAGTCCTGAAATAATACTTTTCGGAGAATGGATGCGGGCGGCGGACCAGAAACTAAAAATTAACTTGTAGTGGCCTTAGTGAAACAAAATTTTAGCTAGTCAGAATTCAAATGGATCCTCTTTTTGTTGTGTCCAGGATGAAGATAAAGACATTTTTTATTTTTCATGTTACTAGGACAACTTAAAACATATGTCAAATGTGTATATGCGTGTTAATAAATCAACTGATTTGCATTGTTAACAATGAGTGTCACGTATTACACCACAAAGCTTTTCACACGGATTACATTTTGCGCTACACGAATTCTAGTACTCTGTGAATTCTAGTACTGCGCGTATTCTAGTACTGCGCGAATAGTTCTTGTTGTTTTGCATTAAATATTACACAATCCAAAGTTTTCATTTCTGGCGAAAATTTCCCACTTACCAGTGATGTTCTCTATATAGACAGGTGCTACAATTAGAGAGGTTAAGATACCCCGGTTCCGGTTTACGGGTACGAGTATCGCCATTTTGTTTACCAATTTTTGCTGATGTCAGCAATTTTACCCGTAATTTCTACCCGTTTCCCTGCGGTAAACCGGGGTCTACACGTAAACGAGAAACAGGTACGGGTGGTTTCTGTTTACTATTTTTGGGCCGTTTAAATAGTACAAATTTTCAGCATCTTACCCCAATAAATAATGCACATATGCTGGTCAAAGTTTTCAACAATTTACGACGAACCTCAACAGCGAAAGTTGCCATTCTTTGATCGGTTTTCTCACGCCGGAGTATCTTGGATTTCTTAAGTTACAAGTTATTCCCCGATTTACGGGTACGGTACGTGTATATCACCCGTACCCGTAAACCGGAATTGGGGTATCTTAACCTCTCTAATATAAATAATGAACGGTCCCTTATACTATGGTATTTTAAGCACTTTTGTCAATCAACATTTATGTTAGAAAAACCAAGGTAGCCAAAATATAAAAGAATCGCATTATAGTTTACAAATTAATATCTGATGAAACTAAAAATATCAACTGTAAAAGTGAAAGTTTTTTTACGGGAGTAATTATATTAAATTATGGAAGGTGTAAAGTTATTAACTTAGATCAGGATACACTTTGCAATATGAAATTTGTGTCGTTCTCGAAACAAGTTCGTCAAATCGTGTGCGATGAGAGTTATTCGATGAAAATTCTATATAAGGATGGCAAATTTAAGATACGCACGTCACAATGAGTACCAAGAACAATTTCGAAGATGCTCTTCGCTGCATAACCCAAATAAAGCATCATGAAAACATCTTCAGACTATTAAAGCATTAGAGTTGATGATTCTTTGACGCCAAAGTCCCCGGAGTAAAGATACTCAAGGTAAAAGGAGGAGTAAAGATACTCAAGGTAAAATTTGATTTTTTACAATCACTTTTTCGAATGCTTTTTTACTAAACTTCTAGTTCCAGCTGTCTGTGGCACCCATAATTGCTGTGTTTTCTTCAACAAATCACAACATAATGATTATGTTACAAAGGTAGGACAACATTTGTAAGCAATATTGGTTTTAATATAATTTTATACAACTTTAATAATAATGGTAGATTGGCAGCCCATAAACCAGAAGGTGGAATTTCTAATTCTGCTTTAGATTTATATAATTTGATGTGATGATATTAAATTAAATAATTTGTATTAATTATTGAATGATTAAATTCATAATTTGTGTATACTTTTTGTTAACCCATTGAGCAGTAATGCACTCTATCTAACACCAGACAATTTTACTTGTCAAGGGGAGAGTCTTGCAGCTCAAGTCTGATTAGCCAAGAGCATTGACTTTTTAAATACATTGAATTCAGAATTCAGTTGTTCAAAAATTACTATAACAAAAAATTGTTCTTGTAAAATGTTTATTGCATGTGCATGTTATGTTGCACACGAAGCACTATAGCTGTAAAATTTATCATCAATGTTAAATTTTAAAAATTTTCCGATTTTCAAAATTGTTGCACTAATATATGTATAATTTTATATTGTGTGTATTTTAATTCACGTTGTGTTCATAGATGTTATACTGATGCTTTTACTCCATGGTTCCTTGGATGATGATTGGACAATGGTATCTGACAGAAATAACATCAGTAGAAGTGTTGGGAGTTGTACAACATTAATTCATATTTAATTTTATTAACACCTAATTATAGTAATGACAAATGGAGTGAGATTTAGAGTCTTTCACAATTTGTTGCCCCACCCCTTTCCTTATTAATAATTACATTGGCCCACCCCCTAAATCCATTTTTAAAACTCTGCCCCCCCCCCCAAATAATGAACGGTCCCATAGATGATGTGGTGTCGAAAGCAGAGCAATATAAATGGCAAAAACAAGAGGAATTCACGACTAAACAATACAAGGACCAACTGAGATACATCAAAGCACTTTTTGGGCAGAAAATCAAACTTGAATATCGAACATACAACAACGAAAGCGACAAAACCAGAGTGAGATTACTGATACTTGAAATTACAAAATTCGACGGGGCAATTGAGAACTGGTTACCATTCTGGAATAAATTTGAAGTGGAATTGACTCCTCGGACATGGTAGCTGTGACAAATTTAAAGTGCTGTGCGTATTTAAAGCAACTCTTGGAACCTAATGAACCTAAATTGTGTCAATGAACCTAAATTTTGTCAATGTATCGACGGTTTGCAATTTTAGACTGAAGGCTATGAAAGACCCACCAGTCCCCAACACTCGCTTAATTTCCCAAAACTTTCCAAAGACTGTACGTTATATGTGCTAGTTTGTGATAAAATTTATGTACCTTTAAAGGCTCAGAACCCACAACGACTGGTAGATAAGCTTGGGCGGTTTACCGGTTTTCCGGTTTTGTACGTTTTTTTTTATTAAACCGGTTTTTGTTTTCAATAACCGGAAAACCGGTTTTTACTACATATCAAAAAGCGCACTATATAATTGTTAATTGTTAAGCAATGCTGACATATATGACTGTTGTGATGACATTTTTTCCACGCGCGCGGTAAAGTCTTTACTTCGCCAATTATCAGCGCAAACATGGCTACACAAAATGTTAGCGCTGCCGATTTACGTTCGAAAAAGTCGTTTACATCCCCAATTTGTCAATATATATATATTTCGTGTTTAAAACCGATGAAGACAACAACGCCAAGCCGACGTGCAAGCTTTGCCTCAAAAAGGTTTCTGCTGCTGGAGGAAATACTTCCAACCTTCAACGCCATCTCCGCGATCATCATCCTGCGAAGGCACAAGAGCGTGGAAAACAAGGTTGATAAAATTACAATTATCGAACCTTACCGCTAAAGACACGTGTAATTTGTGCAATTGTTGAGCGTTGAAATTATGTTTTCATTTGTGCCTATTTCCCAGCGCGCACACAACATGAAATTGACGTTGTTTCAAGGTTTCAGGCATCGAAATGACGTTTTCAAACCATTTAACGTCGATTTCACGTTGTTTGCCCGCTATAGGATAGCGGTTATTGCGCGTTATTCAATATTGGAATCGCGTTAATTTTTTAAAGTTAAAAAACCGGTTTTTCGGTTTAACCGGTTTTTTAGCGTACGGTTTACCGGTTTTAATTTTAACCAAAACCGCCCAAGCTTACTGGTAGAGCCATAATATTTTCAATATACTATGTATTTACGATTTCACTAACATTCCCATACTCTGTCTTCAATTTAGAGGGCAAACAGAATGGCAAATGTGGGGGTTCCCAAAGTTAGGTAATAATATAAAGCTTTACAAATCTGTAAAGATATCTACCCTATCCCACTGAGTGAATCCCCATCTCCCTTTAAGCCCCCAGGATCTTGCAAGAGGTTCCACATACAACAAAGTGTGTCACATCAAAGAGGCTGTGTGTATTGTGACGAAGTCTCACAAGTCATCCAAGTGTAAGGAATGTGTGTTGATCGAAGACCGGAAACAGAAGCTACGAGATAAAGGTCTGTGTTTTAACTGCACTGGAAACAAAGTCCGCACTTGAGTTCTAAAGCTTTCAAAATGCTTTTTTATTGTTTTTTTTTATATCTCCATAAAACTTTAAATCAATAAATAGTCTAGAACCTGTACCGTCGATTGCAACTAAGCGGAAACATGACATGAGAAAACGTGCCCAATTGGCTGTCAAACATGATTTGCTTGGACTTCAAACATCACATGATTTTACTGCAAACATTTACGTTTCAACTGTCAATATTCCAAATTTAAAAACATTCATATTGGGCAGAGATTAGCTTGCAAACACTAAATCTGTGATTAAATTCGTCTGAATTAAATTCGAAGTTCTAACATGCTGTAAATTTGTGAGTTTTGCGTTTATAGTGGACAAATTCAGTACAGTTTGCAATGTTTGTACTAACTTTGTTATGTTTTCATGGGAAAAATAATTGTAAACCGTCAATTGTTTCCAGCAAAATCATGTAAAGTTTGAAGTCCAAACATGTTATGTTTCCTGTCCAATTTATAGATCACGTTTTCTCATGACGTGTTTCCGCTTAGGTGCAATCGATGGTATACGAGTTTGTATACGTTTCAATTTAGCACAGGTAATCTCAACTGTTTTAGGGTAAAATGACCATGGCAGTCAACAGTCGAATGAACTGTCTTAACTGGAAACAGAAACATCACACATAGATATCTGATAAAGTTGTCAGTGAAGAGAAAGCAATGACAGTGTTGACCGAAGGTGAGAGAAAGGTATGCCATCCAGTCGTAGTGGTCAATGCAATCGGGACTAAATGTCAGGCACTGGATACCGGTGCAACAGGTTTGTACACGTCAGCATATTTGTTAGATCTACTGACGTACATTTTAATAAAAAAGACAGAATTTATTACACCAAGACAGCAAATATCAGAATTTATTATCAAAACTATTCTGGCCAGTCTAAAGTTTGGATTATTTAACCCAATAAGCCACAATGTTCCCCAGTGCCGCCCTACTTATTTTTTTACTTGTCTAACATCAGAAGATTTTACTTGTCAACGGGGAAGCTCTGCAGCTTAATGGGTTAACTCATTAAATGGCAATGCGCTTGGATGTTCCCCGAGATTGGCAAGGGGGTAAGTGCATGGCAATGCACCTGCCCACATGTGCCCTGAAAATACAACGTGAAATTCAAGCTTTTCGACTGTGTATCATGCAAGAAAATTGGTCAAAAACTCACAACGTTTTTCAAGTTTAAAATTTTAGTTTCTCAAAAATAATGAACAATGGCGATACTGTTGCACAGCAGGATTTAAAAGCAAGAAAAGAAGAGGAAATGAAAACGAATGTATTGACGAAGATTTTCAGCCAAAAAGATGAGAATTTCTCCAAACTTTATCAAAAATAGAAGTTGGAAATCACAAGAAATATGAACATGGAACACAAGTGAGCAGATGGTATTTAAGAGTAGAAATATGCGATCAAACACTCACAAAATTCGACCACATTAAAGTTGGTTGAACCTGGTTTAAAGTTATCTTTTTAGACAAACTGTTTATGCAAATTTAGGCACAATTTTGACTGTTTTCTCACCCATTGTTGGTCTTCTTGTTCAAGTTGTTATTTTAGCTAAAGTATGTTTCAAACAACACCAGATTAAATTACTGTGTGCATACGTCAGGGGCGGATCTAGGATTTTTCGTATGTTAGTAAAAAATTTCATCGCTGAACATCGAGGGGGGGTCGCAAAGGAATTAATTTGTATCCTGTTTTACGAAAAAATGTTACGTGTTTGTCCTTAATTTACATGAATGGTCAAAAGATTTTCAAATATAGCGATGCAGTTTTATAAAACATTTGATTGATTGTTAATTCACAGGAAGAGAATTTCCACGTTTAATTCACTGCCTCTCGAGTTTTATTCATCAATGGCAACATGATCCATTTTACTTATTGTATACATGTTGTAGAGGTTGTATTACACAAAGCCATGCAATATTGTAGTTTTAATATAGACAACTAGGTATAAATAATAGAGTATCAATATATATCTGATCAATATATAAAGCCCACATTCCACAACAGGCATAAACAAAGTATAAACAAACTGAAACTGCTTGTATTAAGCCGCAGTATTATGTAAACTGACTGAAATATTATGTAAATTTCATCTCTTATTACGTACAGATGCGCAATCCACTACAGCCTACAACAGCTATAATGCTATATCTAGTTAAAATAGAATATATTTACCTTAAGGCCGTACAAAACTTTTTATTTTCTCTCGAACATACTTCGGGATGTAAGATTCCGCACCAAAATTTCGCAGTGCAAGGAAGAAGCTTGTTATGTTCACAGCGCTCAATAAGTCTTCAATGGAATGCTTCGGTTACATATCTTTAAGATATTGTTAATTAAGATGTTGTCAATCGTCTTTCTCTAAAGCAGCCTTTGCGGTTTTGTGTTTAGAACTTCTGATAAATTTTCCGATTGCCATAAAGCACACATGCTATAAAATCGGCGGGTACGCGTATAATAATAAGAGACAAAATTTACATAATATTTCAGTCAATTTATATAAATACATAGACCTTTCCGTGCATACTGTTAGTCTGAACAGTATGATCGATCAAAAAAATCCAGCCAACAGGAATTCAGGATTTTTTTGAATTAGCCAATCGGATAGCCTGTATTCAAGCCCCTGATTGCTTTAGTGATCAGAACTCCCCACAGATCGCGCAAAAATCGAGATAGCGAATCAGATGGCTGGAATCTGACTCAGAACGTGCAAAACTCATGCGTAAGACCGCTTTTCTGCGCGTTCATGTTCGAAGACGTTGCTACTGCATGGATGATATCTTAGAACTGGACTGTTAAACTTTCAATAAATACACTGCGCAAAATTTGATAACTGGACTGCTATTTTAATTTAACAATTTTCTGGCCAATTTTTACCTTATTCGTGTGATCGCTCTGATCACCCCTAGATCCGCCCCTGGCGTACGTGCCCTATTTGGCAAGAATACTTCGAGTATTAAATTCCACTAAATAAGTAGGATATTCCAAAGGATATTCCAAAGGATATTCCAAGTCCTCACTTGAGTTCTAAAGGCTTTCAAAATCCTTTTTCTATTGGTTTTTATGTAATGTTTACAACATGAGCGGCCGTGTTGTATCAGATATACAAACTCGAGCCGAAGGCGAGAGTTTGTATATCTGATACAACACGGACGCGAATGTTGTAAACAACTTAAACAGCTCATTTTATGAGTTCATTGGCAAAGTAATTTTAAAAATAAACGTTCTCTAAGCCGAGAAAATCAAAGTCAAAGTTTATGTAAATCAACATGAATCTGTATCACATATACAGATACAACACGCTTATAATTTTTCTTTGTGTTTTCTTCATGAATTATTAATGAGTTTTTAAATTCCATAAAACATTAAATCGATAAATAGTCCAGGACCTGTATTTGAGTTTGTATGTGTTTCATTTAGCACAGGTAATCACAACTGTTTTAGGGTAAAATTTCCATGGCAGTCAACATGGCATATGTGCCAAAACCTGAATCCGGGACGAAAGTCCTGAAAATGACCCCGCCCTGAAATGCCAGTGTCGACATAGCTCTAACTTC